AAGATTGTGTCCTGATATGTAAAACTATAACTGAAAGAGTGTTTACTTTTCAGATTGATATTGACTTGTTACTGCAATACAAAAAGGCCATGTTTAATTTAAATGAGTTGCCGTTAAAATGCCTATGTAGCTAAAGCTACAGAGCCTTTTAATGCGCAAGCTGTCAAAGCTGAAGACGTATCTCCATACCGGAAAACTGCCCCCTGAGTGTTGGTAGGTCTGGTCAGGCGTGCAGGTTGTGAGATGGGTATTTTTTGCCCATTCTTGAAGAGCAGAAGCAATTCCTAGATCTTGAAGCTCAGGAGAAACTTCTGCAGCCGCACGGAGAACGTTGAAGATGGCGGAGATTCTGACTTCAGGTCTGGAACTGCCAGATGGGTGTAGCTGGTGTGAGGTGTTTCTAGTTTTCCCTGAAGGATTTATTAGTAAGCTCAATTTTAATTTTATTTAAAATTGGCCTAGCCTTGGTCGAGAGAAACCTGACACTGCTTCAGGCCCAGCAGGTTGAACTTTGAGTAAATTTCGAATTTTACAAATACTCTCATAATTGGCAGCCTTCAAATTTTTGACGATTGATATAGACTGCTGTTACTCATCCAAAATGCATTTCCTCATTTTTATTTTGCCTAATTGCCTTTATTGCATAACATTGAGTAAGGAATCTGTCGAAAGGGACTGACTTCCGCAAACTTATTCAAGTAGCGGGATTGGCTGAAACTAGTGGAATAATATGTGAATTGCAAGAACAATGCAACAATATAGTTTTTACACACACGCATGCATGCACGCACGCACACACGCACGCACGCACGCACACACACGATAGTTTGGATTTCACTGTATAAATGGACAGACTATGCGATGTTACAGCCTAGACCGAAGCCAGCATTTCACTGCAGGATGTTTAAGTTTTATGCCTTTAGCTGTGTTGTCGGTCACTTGATATATTTCCACGTCACAGTTTACACGGCTTATGATATTGCTGCCGTTTTGTCTGGCTTCTTTAAGATATGCTATAAAAGGCCGCTAATTTCTGCAGATTCACATGAATCTTGGGATCATAAGCGATGAAATCAGAACAGGCTATCACCTATTGGCTGGCGTTTTTGTGCTGTGGGTGGCTTAAAAAAAAAAAAAAAGCTTATTTAATTACGCTCTCCTTATTTTCCTCACTTAAGACTAATGTTATAGATTTCACCTCTGTCTGTTACACACGACATGCGTAGACTGCTGCTCCATGTTGGGCTAGGCTTGTAGTATAATTTTAGAATTAATATTCAAATGAGAAATCCATTATTTTATAAACATTCAAATGCCTTTTTAAAAGTAGATTCCCAGCCGACTGCTTAGAGAACTAACGCAGAGACTTGGGACACCAGCTTGCTCATTACCTGGTTATAATTAATATGTTGTTAAGGGCATTTAAGTACAAGATAGTTTGTTCGATTATATAATGAATAGGGACGGAAGGCAGTGTTTCCCGTGCGAAATGCATGGGTTTGTAGTTGGACCTGTGACATACCTGGAATGTCTCCATGTCAGTTACTCAGAATGCTGCTGTCCAGGCTGCTCCCAGGATTTGTAGGTGACTTTCAGTTTTAAACTAGTGTGTGCAACAGACAATGGCGCAAACAACCAGTGTGCATGATGATGATATCTGCTAAATCACTTGTTATAGTGCATAATAATACTAATAAATACAAATATATTAGTGTTAATTTATTCATATGGAGCATTTTTTTTTTGTAAGCCAGTAGTAGCTGTTTATATGGAGACCCTTCATTGCAATACTGATGTAATCTTTTTTCCAGTGGCTGCTCTTTATTAGAATCGCTTTGGTGTCTGGAGCATGTGTCTAAAGTAGTGCTGTTCTGATTTATGTAAGTGTGACCTTATATACGTTTCATGTGCGTTTTTGGAAAGTTTGTTTCAAAACGATGTCATCACAGTCGCAAAAGTCCCACGAATTAGTTTCTAAGGTCGCCTGTGTTGCGCAAGTGATTCCGGTTCAGCGTCGAGAGAGAGCCCAGCGTAAGCACACCTGAATGATCTCCTGGGTGAAATAAGTTCTGCATGTCTGGAGGGGTAAATGCTCGGGGGAGCTCTGCTATGGTGGAACCAGGAGACCGTGGTCATGGACGGCATCCACTCTCTCTTTCAGCTGTTTGTCATCTGCTTGGTAAATTGTGCCAGATTCTGCCGAATCACGTTCCGGGACCATTTAAATTTTGCAGACCAATTTTCACACAATTTCTTGTGTTTATTGGTTTAGATTGATTCTTAAGAATACATAACGTTCCCAACACTGATTCGTACGCATTCCGGGACCAGCGGCAGCCTCATTACCCCAGTGCTCTCATGCCCTTCACGTTCCAGCACCTTCTGATTTTAGAAATGAAGCACTGCTTTTATCCAGTTAAACAACTGAGAAAGTAGGATCAGCCACTGCCTGGAGCGGCTGGGGGTTAAGGGTCTTGCTTGGCCTGGTTGTGACATCAATGTGCTGGTCGTGGGATCTGAACTGGCGGCCGGTGAGTTCCAACTCGTGGAACCACACATCCCAACTATTAACACATTTACAGTCTAAAGGCATATCCCCCTATGAGTTGGGACTGAACCCACACAGGCATGCGTGTCTCTTGCATTGTATGTCCCACGCCTTAACGACTTGCCCATCCCGGTACATGCACACCCGCTCCCTCAGTCACTCACTGTGTACACGTTACACCAGTGTTTCTCCACCCGGTCCACAGTTCTGCTCCTTCCCAGTTTCCTACCAGAGAGTCCACATGCTTTACAGACGCCTGCTTACTACGTGGGGGATGTGGTGGGTTCCTAGCTTAGGGTCCTGGCTTTGCGCTGCATGCAGTTTGCATGCTTTCCCCGTGTCGTTCCTTTTTTCTCCCGCAATCCACAGACATGCAGTTAGGCTAAGTGGCGCCTCTAAATTGCCCATATCGTGTGACCTTCTCCCCTATGATGCGCTGTCTCCCTGTCCAGGGTGTTTGTGCCTTAAGCCCCTCGCTTCCAGGCCTTTTGTCACCCCAGGGTAGGTGGTTTGGAGACGGATCCTTGGGACGGATCCTGGGAGAGCCGTGTACAGCGTGGGGAGACTCAGGGCATGAGCCACGCTCTGCGAATCCCAGCAGGCCGAGCGGCCTCACCTGCAGCACTGTGGGGAAACCGCAGGGGATCAGAGCTGCGCTGTGACCTGAAAGCGTCCAATTCCTGGGAAACCCCTCCCCTTCCTCCCGGCTCGGGGTGGGACGCGCTGCCTGTAAACAGCCCCCATGTCTGAATAGGGCGACCCGCTCGCAGGATCTGCGCGTCTGCGCTGCGTGGGAGAACGCCTCGGGGCGGGTGGGCAAGCTGAGGCCTGCATGTCGCCGGCCCTGTGCGGACGCCTGCGACAGCCTCGCCACTCAGGAATGCCGCTCCCCCCCTCTCTCATTTCTGCTGAACTGAAAGCACAGCCTGGGCCTTTCTTGTGTTCCCTCATCCCCCTGTCCATCACCACCCCTGTCACATGCACACATACGTCCACATAGGGAGCCTTGGTGAGAACCCACCTTGTGGGCAGGGCGGGGCCAACCCAACATGCTGGGGCCTGCATGTCGCCGGCCCTGTGTGGACGCCTGCGACAGCCTCGCCACTCAGGAATGCCTCTCTCTCTCTCTCCCTCCCTCCATTTCCCGTTTCTGCTGAACTGAAAGCACAGCCTGGCCCTGGCCTGTAATCACTTACCCTACTGTCAGTCACCCCTGCCCCCCCCCCCCCCCCCCCCCCCCCCCCCCCCCCCACACACACACACACACACACACACACACACACACACACACACGGGGAGCCTTGGTCAGTCCCAGGTGGGGACCAGCCTCACGGGCAGTACAGGGACAGCCCTACAGAGTGGGTCATCACGTCAGCGCGGGCCATGCTGTCTCCGCGGGCCATGCTGTCTCCGCGGGCCATGCTGTCTCCGCGGGCCATGCTGTCTCCGTGGGCCATGCTGTCTCCATGGTGATGCTCGCGGCGTCTCCCGGGACGCCGTGTGAGTCACGGCTGTGATCGGGTCCGGCGTGACCGATAGCCGTTAGAACCGGTTATTTCCGCCACAGAGCGCTGATGTCTTACTCGCGTGCCTGGGACCGGACAGGAAGTGGCCTCTGAGAGCTCGAGAGGCCGGGTTGAAGTGCACCTGTAGATCACACCCCCCCCACCCCGCCCCTAGCTGGCACGGTGGCAGTATCACGCCCTCAGAACAGTCCATCAGATTTACTACTATTTGTTCAGCGCAACAGCTAATGAAGAGAGATCGCAGCCAATTGGTTTGGCATTTACAGCTCATCCACTGCAGGGCAAAAGCATTTTTGAGCTGAGGCCAGGAACATAGTGTTCTCTGTAGCTAGTTAGCATGTGACGTCTCCTGGCGCGCAGCCCAGAAGGGTCCAGTCCATTCACATGCGCGTGTGGAGTGCAGGCAGAGGAATGCCGATCCTGTCTCCACATGACGGGAAAGGCGGTGGCTGGGATTTTTCCACGGGAACAGCTTCCTGGTATCATCAGGTGCTCCATGTGCTATGATGCAGCATTTCTTCTTTGAATTCCCCCCTCAACCACTTCCCAAGGGGGGGGGGGCTCTTTTTACTTCTGTAATATTAAATTTGCTGTGTTACTTTGTTGCTTATATACCATATTTGTTTTTGCAAAGCACAGAGCAGTTTGGTCCAGGGTGTTTCTCTACTGCACTGGTGCAAAATAACACTCTAATGCATAAAATTTTGGTGTTTTCTCATGTTCTTCCCTTCAGAGATGTACATGAGTTGTGTGCCTTCCATTTAAACTGGATATTTTGCTGCAGGGTTAAGGTTAAGTACCTTTCGGGTGGTGGGGGGGGATGCAGCTGCTCCCCTTCGTGGTCTACAGGTCAGCGACGTCCACAGAAACTCGCACTGCTGCAGTCAAATTCCAGTGACAAACACTGATAAGCTGTTTCCCTGTAGGGGGCGGATGTGGATATCTCGGACTGCTCCTCTGGTCCCGGGAGTCCGACGGCCACGACCCAGGCTGGCGATTACCGGGGTCCGGCCCCCAGCGGAGGCGGTGATGGCGCGAGGTCCGCCAGTCACTGGGCCAGAAATCTGCAGGCACTCCTGAAGACGCCACAGAAGCAGGAAGATAGGTCGTTCAGGACCCCAGAGGACTCTGCGAAAAAGAAAAGGACTTTTCTCAGGTTTGGGTTGTTTAATGCTGTAAAACAATATAAGCACTGGAGCTGCATCTCTCGCTGGTACAGCCACCCTTCCTGACGTCGATTTTGCAGCCTGGCTCACTGGCACTGCACATTCTCCACAAGTACAGTGAAACCATACTGGCAGCTAACCATTATACCTTGACCCTAATCTGGTAAGGCCTCCATTCCGTGTTTAGCCAGTAATGTTAAAGGAACAACCGGGAATATGCCTTTGGCTGCGTTGTGTCCCCGGTTGGCACTGCCAGTTCGGCCGGAGGGCGGCAGTGGTAGATGCAGTGCTGGTTTTTACAGAGGGACGAGGACGCCCTGTGGTAACTGGGAAGCAGGCACTGTGTTTCCGGGCTCTGGACAGTGAAAGCGCTGTGTGTTTTCATTTCTGTTTTCCGTATCAGTGCAGTATTGCTGGTGCTCTTGTTTGCAGAGTGTGGATAATCAGTTGGGCAGCTGCTCAATGAGACCCAGGTTTCCAAGCTGAGTTTTGAGTGACTGTGTATGGGGGGGGGGTATACAGGGCCAGGCCAGCTGATTCTTCTTCATTACATATTCTCCTGTGTCTCTCATGCTGATTCCAAAGCAGTCAACCCCTCCCTTAACAGTAATCCCTTTCCTGTCCCTCCCTCCCGTCCCCCTGTCACGTGGCACTGTCCGTCCCTGTCCCTCCCTCCCGTCCCCCTGTCACGTGGCACAGCCCGTCCCTGTCCCTCCCTCCCGTCCCCCTGTCACGTGGCACAGCCCGTCCCTGTCCCTCCCTCCCGTCCCTGTATCATGCAGTTCTGCCAGTCGCGCAGTGATATTTCTTATTCAGACAGTGATATCTCTGTTCTAGGTCGCACACTGCATGTCTGGTGCATTTCTGCGCTTTGCCTGTCCACTGTGCCTGTCCACTGTGCCTGTCCACTGTGCCTGTCCACTGTGCCGCCTCTCCTCGCCTTGCTACCCCACGATGGGTGCTGTGTGGCTCAGCGGCTCAGAACCCTGTGACTGTGACCAGCAGGTCGCTGGTTCAGATCCCGTGACTGACAGTGTGCAGTCCGCACTGGGGGTCTGGCTGCTGTGCTGTTACCTCTATACATGTCTCTCATGCAGAGCATGATGGGATATGTGAAAGCTACCCAGTCTTCACACAAGGCTGTCTACCCTGTATCTATATATATTTTAATGCTTCTTGCCTGCTAATGTGTGGGAGAGCACATAGAAACACGTTTGAGGAGAGTAGAGGTGAAAGTTCAGTGTTTCTCTGTTTATCTTATCGTCTTTTTTTTTTATTTTTTATGAAGATCTTTGTGAGCCGCCTATCTGCCGTCAGACCAGCTTCCTCTGGAGCTCTGCGTTCCTGCAGTCCTACCTTGTGCTGTAGAGCTCTTTCTTAAAGCAGGCTTTACTACCACAAGGGAGTACATTTCCTATCTGGCGTACCTGATGTGCAAACATTTACTGCTGAGTGAGTCACTGCCACGCAGGCCTCCTGCGTCGCTCTCCCCCGGCACGTACGATGCCGTGTGCATTGTGCCATATGCCATGATCTGAATGCCGGTCATGTGGCTCACATTCACATTGCACTCTATCGACTTCGTTTGTATTATTGAAACGTGCGCCTGAATGGTGATGGAATGCGTTTGTGCCGTTGCCGGTCAGGTACAAAAGATCCAGATGTTACGTGGAACAAACTGCATACGAGCTCAGCAATTAACAGGCGGCATCTGTCATTCTGTCATCATTCAGAAGGACAACGGCGTCTCTGTTCTCCGAGGAGAAGGTGGCTTGCCGTACCTGACACTGACGCTCTCTAAGACTGGCTTTGCCTTCCAAGTAGATACTTGTAGGGTTAGTGTAGGACCTGAGTGTTGATGTCATGGCGGAGTCAGGCCAAGATCGGGCCCTCGTTTCCCGCATATGAGCAGTGACACCGTCCAGCCTGCGCTCAGCCTGACGTAATCCATGGTAAGGATACAGAGCTTGTCATAAAACACAGCTCCTCTTAGCTATGTGTGAGTGTTATGCTGTTGCTGGGGCGAGGTGTGGCTGTTCTGGCTGGCAGGTCGGGTGTCTGTGGCTGTTTGCGCTGATTTTTATCTACCAGTATCAGAATGAACACATAAATAGATGCTTTCTGTCAGGGCCAAGTACATTTACTTTATCTAGCTGACACTTTTGTCCAAAGCTACGGCAAATGGCACTTTACAAACACATGGCTGTCGGAGTCGAACCAGGAATAAGGAGAGCTATGCTGCAATTAGATTGGATGTCCAGATGCAAGTTGTAAAACCACCCAGGCTGCTGGTTGGATTAGTCTTAACTGATATTTTTTTTGCTTGCTGCACGCACGCGCGTGCGCACGCACGCACGCACACACTCGCACGTTTGTACTCGTGCACTATATGGACAGAAGTATTGTGATGCACCTCTGTCATTGAATTTAGGTGTTTCTCTCAGACTCTTTGCTCAGGTGTATAAAATCAAGCACCTGGCCATGCAGTCAGGTTTACAAGCATTTGTGAAGGAATGGGTCATTCTGAAGGGCTCAGGGAATTCATGCGTGGTACAGTCATAGGATACCAGCTTTACAATACGTCAGTTTGTAAATTTTATTCCCTGCTGGATGTTTCATGGTGAACTGTAGGTTGGAATTATTGAAAAGTGGGAGCATTTAGGAACAACAGAAACTGAGCCACAAAGTGTCAGCCCACATACAGTAACAGAGCCGGTCACCGAGTGCTGAGGCACAAAGTGTGTAAAAGTCACCAGCAGTCTGACTCAATAACTGCAGAGTTACGAACTTCCTCTGACATTAACTCCAGTACAAAAACTGTGCACCAGTAACTTTATGGAATGGGCTTCCATGGCCGAGCAGCTGCATGCAAGCCTCACATCACCAAGCGTCGGATGGAGTGGAGTAAAGCACACTGCCACTGGGCTCTGGAGCAGCGGAAACGTGTTCTGTGGAGTGACGAATCACAGTACTCTATATGGCAGTATGATGGATGAGTCTGGGTTTGGCAGATGCCAGGAGAACGTTACCTACGTGGCTGTATTGTGCCAACTGTAACGTTTGGTGGAGGAGGAGTAATGGTTTTGGGTTGTTTTTTGTGGGTTGGGGTAGCGCTTTTAGTTCCAGGGAAGGGAACTGTTAATGTTTCAGCATACCAAGCATGCCGTTTTGGACAATTCTATGCTTCCAACTTTTTGGGAACAGTTTAGGGAAGGCGGCCCTTTTCTGTTCCAGCATGACTGTGCCCCAGTGCGCAAAGCGAGGTCCATAAAGACATGGATGGATGTGTTTGGTGTGGAAGAACTTCACTGGCCCGCACAGAGCCGTTAGGCAGCCCTTTCGTTTGCGCTAATGTGCCATTAGTGTTAATAACAGCAGCAAATCTAATACCGTGAACAAAAAAGCCGTAATGTTCCTAATAGAGTGGCTGCTCTGTCCTGAAATCCTACAGCTGAAAAGTTTTCAGACACAGTACTTTATAAAATGCTGGATGAATAGACGTAGTTTATTGGTGACTGTTGTGCTCGTCAAAGCTGACATTACTTAACTGTATAATAAAGTGTAAAACGTGCATTTTCCGGGTTGCCATCTCACGCATCTGTCGAGACTCTTGCGCCATTATAAGCCTATAATTATTGGCATCGAAAACATTGGGGTAGATTGCAAACCCTACAGGCTATCGACAAGGTAAAAAACTGTATATGTAAATGCGTGTGCATGTGTGTGCAGACTTGTCTCGAATTGAGAACCTCACTCCAGCCAGCTGACCGAAGTTGGCAGCCCTGTGTTTTTATTTGAAATGACCTGCAACGTTCCCTGATTTTTGGCTGAAGCAGCTCGTTATTCTTTGTGTCGTTACTCCGACAATTAAATGAATATGAGAACATCACCTGTGTCACTTTTTATACCCAACTGTAATAGTGAGTAAAGTGCACTTAATACCGTGATCATTTTAGGTGACTCGGCTAAATCTTTTTTCATGTTCACGCGCCGCCATTTTTACTTGCATATGTAGGTGAAATGGACTCACTGTAGAGCCCTGGTGAATGGGCAAAAAATCCCAGACACACTCTAAAATGTTGTGGAAAACCTTCCCAGAGGAGTGACTGCTGTTATATCTATACAGGGGAGACCGACTCCATATTGATGCCTATGGATTTCGAATGGGGTGTCATAGACGTTCCCGGAGGTGTAATGCCCAGGTGTCCCAATGCTTTGGTCTATGAAGTGGCCTGTGTTGTAAGGTGTAATAAGTGTCTGTAACGTGTGTCTGTGCATGAGGACGATTCACTCTGTTCATTTCTATGGGCATGACCCCAATCCCAGCTATGATGGCCTCTGACGAGGTTAGGGCCCGATCCACGCAAATGTGAAAGTTCAGGAATAATACTTGCCCCCCCTCCCCCCCAACCTTAACTCATCACACTCTGCTAGCCTGAACAATAACATTAAAAACTCTATTACCAGTTTCTAAACAAATAGTTCTGTACTGTACACTTTGCACGTCAAATTACTTTGTGATTTCCTATTTATGTAACATGCAAACCATCTAAATTATGCCCCTGCATGTACAAAATTACTGCAACTTTTAGTATGGATCTATTTGTAATGGGAAATCAAATGCCCCCCCATCCAATCGTCTTGCTGGTTTCGCCTCGATAATAGTGGGAATCTCAAGTCCCAACGAAAGTAAAAGATGTCAGATTTTTATTAAATAGTGTAATGTATACAAAACCACACACGCACACAGTCTGACCCCCACACTAGGCCTGTGCCAGTCTCTTTGAAGTGGACTCTGTTTCCCCCCCGCCCCCCACCCCTGGGTCTCAGCCGGAGAGAAGTTCAGGGCCAACGACACTGAGAAACTTTAGGAGGATTTTCCAGCTGACAAAAATGTGGACCCGCTCTGGCAGCTCGAGTGCTTTTTAATTAGCACATTTTGAACAGAGAAGCCTCCCCCGTATGTTTGTTTGTCCTGGCCGGACATGGCGGGTTGTACTGGTGGGGGGAGGTTTGGAGTGATCGTGTGGGGTGGTCATGTGAGGTGGTCATGTGACTGACATCTTGCTGCCCACAGGGGCGGCCTGGCGGAGAGGCTGAGCAAGCTGCAGCGCAGGCAGAGGTCGGCCGTCAGCTTCTGGAGGCACCAGACCCTCACCGAGAGCGGCAGCCCCGCAGGTAAGGGCAGGGCGAGCGTGGACATGCGTGCTGCCCAGTGTGAACTCCGGCATTCCGGATCATTTACGGGTCTGGGAGATGCGCAACAGTGACAAGTCAGCTGGGGGAGAAAAAAACGTGACAAACATTTCCTATAATGAATTTTTAGTGTCAGGTGCTAAACTTTTAAATAACTTTTGTGAATGGATCGGCAAGCCCAGTGTAGCAGTCACTTATAAAAGGGGTTTCCCCCAGAAACGGCAGGGAGTCACCAGATGATGTCATTGTGTGGCTCCAGTCTGGAACAGAGCCGCTGTTGAGGAGTTTCCACCCTGCCCTTTGCTGTACGTGCTGTGCTGACCCTGCATGCATAGGATAATAGTCATGCTTCATTCGTCCTCCATGGGGAATTAGCTTTTGCATGCCCCCTCTTGCTCTCCATGAGGGAGATGTAAATACGGGTGTGAGGCAGTTTTTAATTCGCAGCATGGAGTCAGCCAGTGTCTTGCAGCCCTGGAGCAGCCGCAGTGAAGGCCTTTTCCCAGTAATGTTAAATGGGCTCTCTGCCAACCACAGGATTTGAATCCACAACCAGCTGGACTACGGCACATTTGCAGAACGGTGCCCCAGCATCCATGCCTGCCTTAACCCTACACGCTCAGCTTAGAGTAACTTCACTGCAGATTATCTGACATATACTTTAAGATACTCCAGTTCAGTGTAGTTCTACATACTGATTGCCAGCTTTCCAGAAGTAGTGGAAGCGTAAAGAACATTGTCTCCGGTGGCAGAATGGGCTGTACTGAACTCCTCTTCATCCCCAGATTCTTATCACTTTTGTAAACAAAATGTAAGAGCCTACAGGAGGAATAATGAGGTCTTTGCACCGAGATGATTCCCGAACATCGCTGTGCACGTTCCCGCCGCGTCTCTGGAAATGTGCTGGGACACGTTGATGTCTGTCCTGTGTACCCTGGCTTTAAGTACAGGTGTCGCTTTTGAGTGATGATAGCCCAGGCCTTTGTCCCTCCGTTAATCACAGCTTGTAGGGACAGGCTTGCTTGTTTACCTTAAGGATGTAAACAGTGAAAGGAGACGAGGATGCAGCAAGCCGTTGGGGGGTGGGGGGTTTATTTCGGCCAATGGCATTGCATCGTACACACGCCCCCCCTGTCTTTCCAGTACTGTGTCCCATGACTCAGCAGCGTTGGCGTGCGGTCACTGCTTGGCGACTTCTATCAGTCAGCCTCCGACGAGGCTCCGGTCACAAGCACAGTTATGATAGCACCAGTTTGCTTTGGAGCTTCTCTCCCACACAGCCGGCCATCGAGGTTTCAGGTTCTGTTTCTTGCTGCGGTTCCGTTCCGAGGGATCCGGAGCGGTGTGGTTTGGGTGCAGGAGCTTATGTGGCTAACCCAGCCCAAGGTTCGGGTAGCAGGAGGATTAAAGGAGCATTCCCCTGAAATTAGCTCATCTCGCTGCGATGATCGTAGTAGGAATAATACTTCTCTTGCTTTCTTAGTAAATAAAACAAGCCTTTTCGCCATGTTTGGCGAGGATAATTCAGAGAGTAGTCATGATATTGGAGATGTAACAGCAGACTTCAGGCATATTCTGTATGTAGCTGGTTTTGACACAGAGATCAGAGAAATGTTGGTGTTTTTGCCCCAGTCCCACTCCCTGTATCCGTCCTGCAAACACGGGAACAGTGATGCCTCTTTACCATGTCAGCGGGTGAACATGCCGTTTCCTGGAAAAATGGGGCCGTCATCATTTTCGAGGTACTCACTGTCCCCGGGACACGCGGGACGTGCCTGGCGATGAGCTCTGCGTTTTTCGATGGAATTCCCCCGCAGAGGATCGTAGGGGATCGGTGTGAGCAAGCTCGCGGCTCCCAGCTACACGGCCCCGCGGCCCCGCGTTGAGCTTGCACACGCCCTCATGTGATTTATCACGCCGCTGTCAATGTGTTGCCCCCCCCGTCTGGATTTGGGCACGCTCCTGCGCCCCGATTTCTCAGAAGCTGGGTATACTCTGAGCTGGCCGGGGCACGGGGTAGAGCGTGGCGTCCGTTTTCATCTGTCCTCTTCGGAAATGGCAGTAATGTGTGAGTGTCTGTGTGGTGGGAAGTCAAGGCAATTGTGCTTCATTAGGCAGCAGGGAGACGGTCTGCATTACGTAAGACTCTTGGCAGCGCACCCTGTGTGCTGATTGGTTTTTGGCAGTACAGTCCCTATGTTTATTGTTTCGTATCTTCAGCTTTTGAGGTGCCCGTGCAAGGCGCCTAGCCTTCATCAAGGGAGGCTTTCGGTAGTGAGTGTGGGGTCGCAGATTTCACTGTGGTACTGCTCCTAAGTCTATTTGTGTGTAAGGAGCAGCCATGCAAGCTTCCGTCTTTGCTGGGGAGGTGTGTGTGTGTGTGTGTGTGTGTGTGTGTGTGTGTGTGTGTGTGTGTGTGTGTGTGTGTGTGTGTGTGTGTGT